TCTGAAACTCTAAACTCATGGAACGTTTTTTATTAGATTCTTTAATATATTTCTATTGAACTATAACTTAGACAAGTATACTTATAATGTTAAATATTAGTTCTAATATTTAGTTCTTTCAAGACAAGCCCAAATTTAGTCTAACAATTTAGAATTTTGAAATAGTTCTGATAACTTTAAATATATGTATATTTATACAGGCATAAAGGTATATTCAAAATGTAGTTAATGTTTAAATTTAAAAATTTGTTAGAGTAAAAGATACATTGTCACTAATTTCAAAGAGATTTGAATGCATCTCCTTGCTCCAGACATCTTATGGCACTGTTCTTGCCAATGTATTATTGTAATCAATTTTAAATAATTTAAGCATTCATGGTGTTTTTAATTACCCCTCGTATTCCAAAAGGTCCTTAAGATTGGCATTCAGAAAATAAAATCCTAATGCTCGCCTTCAAATTCTCTTTACCCAGGATTTTCTATCCTAGTGTATGCAAAGATCAGTGAGAGAGGGAGAGAGGGAGAGAGAAAGAGGGAGAGAGAGAGAGAGAGAGAGAGAGAGAGAGAGAGAGAGAGAGAGAGAGAGAGAAGAGATGGGAGATGGGACAGGGGAGATGAGAAAGAAAGAATAAAGAAATCTGAGAGTTTTTCTCAAATTCTTTCTTCTCCAAAAGCCTTCATATCCACCACCTCTGGATTCCATAAATTCCTTGTGTGTTCTACTTGTGAAGTTCTATCTGTAAAGCAACCTCCCCAGTCCAACTTGCTCAGTCTCCTCCCAACTTACTCTCACATTGGCCATCCGATATGCTGCCATATATGAAATCTCAGTGAGCTCTTCTCACTGTAACCAAATGAGTTTTAAGCCAAAAGAAACTATGTGCATCACTTTTTGCCTTGAGCCTGCATATTGCTGCCCTGATCGGTGATGTAGTCTTAACCCAGCCCCTGCCCTGTCCATGTTACTGCAGTTACTGTAATGCTGTGTGCATCCCACACCACCGTGTCATCCTTCTGGTCGGTCCTCCATCCCTCCGCCCCTTACCTCTATTGGTTGTGCACCCAGCTGCCATCCTCCCAGGACTTGGCATATAATCAGTAAGTGTGAATGAGGATTTGTTAGCCAGATGAGTAAATTAATGAAGACTGGACAGAGGCTGATTTCCCCTTGCAAACCTGAGACCCTGCAACTTGACCTCATATTGCACAGCTTTGGTTCTCTGAACATGAGTAGGAGTAGGAGTTGCTAGTTCATTTTCATTTTCCTGTATCTAAAATGCTATTTCTCTTCTTCATTCTCCTTTTCATCTTTGTTCTCCGTATTTCTATTTGTGTCTAGGAAGTATGATCTCAAACAAAAGCCATGTGAATTTCAACTGCTATTAAGAAGAGTTTTCTAGAGAAGCAACAAATCTGTCTTCATACATGTCAATACTTGGTTGTCATACACTTCATTTAAAGTGTTGCGCAGTTCTGCTAAAGAATATGTGGCTTTCCACACTGTGAAAATAATAATGAATTTCTGCAAAAAAAGTTTGACTATTTGTGTTCTGTCTGTTCGGAGCTATCCTGGAGTCACTTTAATAGAGTTAAATCAGTTAAGTGAGTGTTTTCTTGATCACATCAGAAGCTTATAGATTACTAGTGTGTAAAATCACATCAGCAAACCTACTTGTAACTGTTGGAGTTGGAAATGAATCATTATAATGGATGCTTCTTCTTCATCTACATATTTGCATTTAGAGCTGCTTAAAGTTATAGACACCATCCTTAGCATGACCCTTAAAATAGTGCAGTAACTAAATGTTCACACTTGTCCTTTTTTAGCTTGAAAAGAAATGTCACATGCTAGGTTTCTGTGAATGACCCACATTCGGATGTGAACCAAACATAATAGCTTCTGCCACTCACGAAGCAACGAGTTGCTGCAAATGTGGGACACAGGGCAGAGGACTCGGTAAATTACTTTGTTTCATTGGTGATCGTCAGAACCTGTGGCATAATATGCGACCTGTTTTATAAACAATAACGCCTCAGGCATTAGTGGACAGGTGGGGTATAGTTTCCTTTTTAATTACATTTTGATGAAGTAATTTAAAAACTCAAAATATTCAGGCCTCTAAAATAGCTATTGCGTCAAACAAAATCCAAGTTTGCAACCATCAACATCAAAATGTGTATTTTAATAAAATACCATAGAATTTTAGCTTTTTATTTAAAAACACTTAAACTTAAAAAATTTTAATAATACAGTCAATGTGTTCCTCCTTCTAGATTCAGGAGTTGTTAAAAATTGTCCATTTGCTTTTTCTTGTCTAATATGACTAAATATCTTCTACTAAAATTCAACTTGATAAACACACATCAAAATATCAGAAAATGAGTGAACATGTATCTTGGTATTTCTGATCCACTTGAAAATAATGTGTTCATAGCTAAATATAATCATGAAAAGTTTAAATTTTTTTTGTCTTTTTGATGCAGGGTCTCTATGCAGTTCAGGCTGGCCTTGAATTCCTTTTGTAGCCCAGGCTGGTCTCAAACTTGCAACAGTCCTCCTGCCTCATGAGTGCTGGGATGACAGGCATGAGCCACTATGTCTGGCTGAAAAGTTTAAATTTAATATTGCATTGAATGACTAATGCTGCATATATAAGAAAAATGCTTGTTTGCTCTCTGTCTTCAATGCCACCAATACAGAATTTGTTAATGACCTTAGAACTGTTCTCACATTGTTTCTTTTTTTAGAAGTTCAGCTAACATTTTGTTGAGTTCTTTAATTTTCCAAAGAGAACCAACAAAATGGAGATTCAAGAATATAAAAAGATGACAAATTTACCCACCCCGTATATATTTACATGCACATAAGTGACTATACTACTAATCGCTCTTAGTTATCAAGAAGAACAGTTTGGTTTTCATTGTCTGATTGATCATTTTTTCTTGCCTAAATCTTGTGATCTGAACAAACACTTTCAAGATGAAAATATGCAATATATTATCTAGTGGTAATTTCCTATTTTTGAAATTCTGTATCATTTTTATCCTTTTTTGTTTTGTTTTTAAAATTAAAAGGAGAAAAAGTGATAAAATATTCTGACATCCAAAAGAATAAAGTAATTCTCTTTTGGATATGCATCACATTGCATTACTAATGATATCACCGGAAATTTTACAATTGTCACTGTTCAATGTGTTAATTTACTTTTCTTTTATACATATAGGCATAGAATATTTTGTACTTTCTTGTGTAAACTGTCTTTATAGAGCTGTAATATTTGCTACAGAGTAATAAAGGTTGGTAAATTGGCTTGTTAACAACACATCATGGAGCTTTTCCCTCGAAAATGCCACCCAAAATGACAAAGAAAAAATTTGAAATAAAACTAAAATGTAATTAATCTTTGTACAGCTTCCTCTATTCGTGATTAGTGCCATTTTGTTCTCTGTTGAAACATTTGTTTACCATCCTGTAGATGTTTGAGTGTTTACATAATTATTCTTTCACACAAAATGGAAGAGAAATAAAAAGAAGACAGACATTTTCTGGGCAAAAGAAACAGAAGCCAGCAGAAACAGGACTGTGATTCCTAATTAATTCGAAGTTAATTATACTGTTGATAATCCTGCCCTTACAATCTTCATATAGAAAATGTTTATGGTGGCAAATTGACAGTAATTTAACTACATTAAATCTTCCTACCATTAAAAGAAAAAGATGAATGTTACATTAAACAAGCATAAGGGAATGACAAAGTCTAGTTCTTGTTTAACAAGCCAACTAGTAAATCAGTCAAATGGTGGAACTGGAGTCCCAAAGCACAGCAGAAGCAGAAGGTGTCTTTGGGGATCCAGCTCAGTGGGAGAGTCTGCCAATCACACACAGGGCCCTCAGTTCACAGGAGAAAAAGAAAAATAGAGGAGACTGCACGATGGCACCAACCGTATGCTAAGTGGCAGGTCCATTTTCATCGTGACTAGTGCCAACAGGTGAAAAGACGCCCAGATCACACTGAATGAAGAGGTCTCAAGAGTCTATTTCAGTGTTTTAGAAAGAATCAAAATGTAGCTAAATGAAATTGCTACTTGTATTGTTTTGACTTAAGTCAGAAGGAAATAAACTTTAGGAAGCTCTGAGTTTAAACTTTTCTCTGCTACCTGTGAACTTGAGACTAACATTTTACCTCAATGAATTAATATGCAAGGCAGAATTAAGGTATGGCTAGCATAACACAGTAAATGGAAATAAAAAGCAGTGACTTTGTGCTAGTAGAGATGGTTTATCTTCTGTTTATAGCAGAGCTTAATAGAAAACTTTTATAAGCAGTGACCTAATTAATACCCACAGCACTCTCAGTGTGACTTAGCCGTATCAGTGAATCAACTAAATTTCTACCATGAGGCACTGAGACTGAGTCTTATAAGAAGAATGAATCGAAGTTTAAATGCCTCACATTTGAAGTAATTTAAGTACTGACAGTCCTAATTATTGGCCAAATGTTCCCCGACTTTCTAGTCTGCTACTTAGCCATCTAAACTAGAATCGGTAAATGTATAGGAAGTAACTGCAAAATAACCAGATGGCTGTTTCAGGTTAAGATTTTAACCGAACAAAATGGCACAGCAAAATACAGGAAGTAGAAATTCATTACATTTTAGTTTCATTTAAAATCTTTTCTCTTGTCATTTTGGGTGGCATTTTCCAGTGAAAAGCTCCTCCATGCATTGTTACCAAGTCTGTTTACCCATTTTTATTAGGAATGGAGAAAAAGTACTAAATAAATAGAAGCTGATAATATATATATATATATATATATATATATATATATATATGTAATGAAAAACTAATCATTAGCTTCCCATTTCTGTTTTTCCAAAGTTATTTGGTGATTAAAAGGAACTAAATAAACAGAAGTTTCTAGAAATATAAATTAAGACTTTGGAGGAAAGAATAAAGATTTGGGGAAAATAAAAACAGTAACAGACAATTGTATTCTTAGGCTTCACAATGACTCTTGGATATCAGATGCATTTCAACGCATCCATAGTGAAGAGACCAAGTTCTTCATGCCATATGATTTGGAGATTTCCAACCAGGAGCTGAGTTACATAGTGAAAAGATCTGAGCAGTGGAGAGGAATCAGTGGTGAGAGAAGGAAGGTGAGTGGTTTGAAGCTGGTTTTTTGTTTGTTTGTTTGTTTTTTTGAGTGTACCAAAGAAATTTACTCTGCCAGCATTTCAGCCAGCGGCTGCATTTTCTGATGTTGTTCTTGAAGCTGTTTACTACTGTATGTGCTACTAGTTTAAAAATCTTGCAACTTGGCTTTATACTGCTTTTATTAATCAAATTGAGGAAAGTAGATTGGGTGGTTCTTGCAGTTTCGCACAACTGTTTTCGGGGAGAAATATTTAATAGCGTGGGCATTTGTGTAAGGTAAAAGTGCACAAGAGCTGTAAAGGATGCGGGCTTTCCTCACTGGAGGAAAAGGCTTCTCAGTAGTCCTGGTGAACAGGCAGCAGGGAAAGCTCTTGCCTGCATCCTCTTCAATGCCCTTGATCACCCAGCTCCTGATTTCCACCTCTCATCTTTACAGTCTTCTTCTCGGGGAGGCCACTTCCTCCACCGGCCTTTTCTACAGCAGAGCCTTCCAAGATTCCATACTTGGTTTATTCCTCTTCCTACACTACACACTCTTTTGTTAAGCACCTTAAAATTGTCTTCTGCAAGATGAAGGTTCTTGGCTGTGTACCTGAAGGCTGCATCTCCCTTTTGAGTCCCATACTGACTAACCCAGTAGCTTAACTTGGTGTCTCCACGTGGTTGCCCAAAGATGCCAACCAGCCACTCTTATCCAGACAAGGTCAATTTCACGCACATTGTTTAACTGACACATGCATTTCACTGTGTGAGGAAATCCTGGCACTTACACTCGTATACTCTCTGGGCACAGTGTTTTCATCCACTCTGACTCAGAAAAACTTGAGTTTTTGTAGATTCGCCCTTGTCTCCTAGGCTTTATCTGATCACCTAGTCCCATTGAATTTACCCCATTACCACTAGTCTTTCCCTAATCCTTTAGCTACTGCGTACATCCAGGCCTGCGATATTCAGCCGCGTATCAGTGGTCTCACCTCATAGTCTATGAATTCATGCTTTCCTCCCTCCGCAGGGACATTCCTAGCATGGAATCGTGACCCTGCCTTCCTCTATCACAAACCCAGCAATAGCTCTGTCTCACTCAGAAAGCAAAAGCCAGCATTCCCACAGCTGGGTGATTGCATTTTGAAACGAATCTCTCCTGCATTTGTGGTCACCTTTCCTGTGTCCCCATCCTTCCCTCCTCTTTGCCCTCCGTATCCCTCTTCAAGGCTTAGCTCAAGAGGCTTCTCTATGGGGCCAAGCCAGGGAGGACCATTTCCTCTTTGTCAACACTTCCTGTTCCAGTAGACTTTTCTAGCGTTAGCACACAATTTGATAATTACCTGTTCATGTGTCTCTCTTTTAGAGTGAGATCTCTTTGTGGAAATAGCGTGACTTCTAACTCTTTACGTATTCAATTTTTGGCAGTCTCTATAGTACAGTCTACCTGCTGTTTGTTGATACATAAAAGAATATGTACATGAATGGTTAGGAAACTGAACACACAGCACTTAATCTGTCCATATAACTGCATCTTATATGCTCCTCACACACATGTGTACCTCATTTCACATAGTATGCGCCTCATTCAATTTCCTGCCTGATAGAAACTTCTTAAAAAATTCTATGAGTTCATTATCAATATACTAGGTATGTGCATTTTCAGTTGGGTTTACTTCGCAGTTAGTGTTTCAGGACAGCCTTCATTTCCAAGACTACAATTCTAGATTTGAAGCAAAAGGAGTTTTATCTGAACATATATTCATTCTAGTTTCTTCATCTTGAAAAATCCTTGATTAAGAGGAAGATTAGTACAAGTCCTGAATTGCTGAAATTAATGAGAGAAAAGAGTACTTCCTATCTAAGACAATTTCACATGCCTGGGGTAGGTGGTGTGTGTTTTATTTAATTATTAGATTTTATAACATGAAAGTTTAGACATTTGTATGCAATGCAAAGTTGAATACCTCAGTGATATGAGTTGAACCTAAAAAGAAACAAACAGAATTATTTGCATATGTATTAGTTCTGTTTCAAGAATGGGGGGAGGCAGGAGAGAGAGAGAGAGAGAGAGAGAGAGAGACAGAGAGAGAGACAGAGAGAGAGACAGAGAGAGAAAGAGAGAGAGAAAGAAAGAATACTTAATTGCTATAAAGAAAATTGAGAGAGATTGTAGTTATTTAATTCTTGGGATAAAACATTTATACTTTGTTTATAAAATGATTTAACTGATTCACGATGGGCAAGAGCTGGACTCCTGAAGTGACTTCAGACCTTGTGTCCATTTTTCTGTGTATACCTTCAAATGGATCAAAGAAAAGACACTTTGATTAAATGTAATTGAAATGAAAGACTTAAAAGCATTAGATATTTTATATTTTTGGCTTAAATGCATTTGTACTGTTGATAGAAGCACATTTATCAGTATAAATGACTGCTTGTTCCTTCATGACCAGTGTAGACTTAGTCTCTGTCAGAAAATGGAAAGCATAAAGAGGTTTATCCAAATCACTTGAAAATTCGGAGGGCACCTGTATTTCTTATTATTGGATTATGGTTGTTAGAACTACACACACCCTTTCAAACTACAATGAATAGACATTTTACTTCTTTTTCATGTCGCTCCATGCCCTGAAAATTTGCACTATGAAGTTCTTCTTCTGGCTATTTTTTGTATGTTATTCTTCTTATGCTGTCATGTTTGCTTGTTTAGTTTATTTCAAAGGAGAAGCAAGGTTGCCCTATTAATAATTGATGTACTGGTCTCAAGATATAGTGCCAGTTTAATTAAAAACAATCATCTGTGTTCTAAAATGCCAAACTGAGTGAAATAAACATTTTAACATAAAAGTGCTTCAGCTAAGTAATCTAGGGTTCTGGTGCTCTAAACATTTGATCTAGATGTTTGCCATAGCACTAGCTACTAAGCACACGCTTCTCATTTTCATGGTCTGGAATAAAAATTGTCCCATAAATGGACACTTTATAATATGCTTAATTTCATTTTGTTAACTTGATGAATGAAAAAGCATAGAGCACATTTGCAGTATGATGAGAATTTAGGATTATTGCATTTTATAATTTTTATATTGTTCATACGTATAATTTTTCACTTGTACAAAGCAGCCAGATGATAATTTTCAAGTTTTTTCAGCCACTTTTTGATAACGAAAAGGTCACTTTCAGTAGTCAGAAAAGACATCATTCTATTAAACTAATTTGCCTACATGCAAATTTTGTCATTTTTACCTCATTAACTATTTATCATGGAGTAAAAAAAATATATATTCATGAAGGGGCAGCTCGCAGCCTGATGGAGCTGGAACTAATATTTTGCAACTCTAATGATTTTTTGCATCCTTAATTAGATAGCATAAGGTTGATATGATTAGGTCAGGATGTAGTGTTTTTCATTAAAATACATTTTAGAAGCTGTATTCATAATCTGCCCTTGCAATTAAATAATGAGCCTATGAATTTAATATTATCGACCCAATTATTATCCCATGCAAACGTATACCTTTAATAAATTTGTGCCGTAGGACCTTCATTAGCAACAGAAAGAATGATATTTCTAGGTACATAGATTGAATGACTATGGTTCCACTTATATAATGGTTTTAAATATATCAGGAAGCAAATCTTCAGTACCTAGGCATTTAATTCTAAAATGTGCCTCACTATTTATTGAAGACTAATTTACATTGTAATTATTTTCTTAAAGAAACTACCACTTTAAAAAGGGCTATTCAAGCTCATAAAAATAGCAGGCTATTAGATGGAGATGGAGGGGTGGAGCCCCTCGTGCATCAGGGGAGAATGGTGTGTAAATTCATAGATCCGTTCAAGAGCAAAATGGGAAAGAATAAAATCTAAAATATTTGTTTGTCCAGTATCCATATTATCCATGAACAACCGTATGCAATTAGTGTGAATTATTATTTTTATTTTCTGTTAGAACAATTTTAATACAATGGAAGAGTGTATGCCCTGAGAAAGAACTGTTTATTAAGTTGTTATTATTTTATGTACTGTTATAGTGAATACGATTGTTGGACATATTCAGTTCTTTCCTGATGAAATTTTATTGAGAAAGCCATATATAATTTATAATAAAAAATATGAGAAACTGACCCCATCTTCAGTGATCAATCTAAGCATTGTTATCTCTACAGAAAATTGCAGATTATATCAGTAGGGCTCCAGTGTTTTCATAGGACTAGTGTTCATGTCCACTTGGGGAAGGTGGACACGGCTGGGGAAAATGTTTGATGTGGGTTGTGAAGGCAGGGAAAGCTGGTAACCAAGCAGATAACATGCAAGTGTGGCGATGGAGGTTTGGCGTGATGACATTTTCCTTGTAAAAAGAGATTAAAAGTAGGGGCATAGTAACATGGAATACTAAAGGATATTTGGAAACTGAAAACCATTTATTTTAGCTTCAGCAAGGGTCAGAGGCATGGAGACCATCCAGGCAGGGTAGACTGAGAACTAGACATTACCCAGTGGGAGTGACCATAGGAAACCATGGAAAGTTTTAATAAAATGAAGTACCTTATTCAGCTAAGAATCCTAGATGTCTTTGCATTGAATTCTATAAATCGTTTATTTTAAAGCTCTAATATTTTATCTCTACTTAATGCATAGTTCCATCTTTCATAATTAAAGGTTGTTTCATACTGTGTAAATTATGTGCAGAGTCTTGTAACTACACAATTCGCTGCTGCCCCAGTCCTGAGTTGTTTAACACATCGGTATTTCTCAGCCAGCTCTTAGGCAGAAGCCTGGGTAGAGGCTGAGAGCACTTCTGAAACTTGATGAGGACTTGAAAGTAGGTGGGAATAAATACCAAGCCACGGAGCCAGATCTGAATTTAGAAATGGGATGTGGAAGCACGTGGAGGCAGAAACCTGGGAGTCAGACTGAAGCCCAGGTAGCAGATGAGGGGGTGGTGACCGCCTGCAAAACAGGGGACCCTGGCTCTTGCAGGTTCAAGGATAAGGTGGCCAGTTGCCTTGAT